TAAAATTAGGGAATTTTGCCGATTTTCAGTGTGAGAAATGATCGGCAGGGGTCACACTAATTTGAAAAGAGCGATAAGTGAAAATTGTTCCTGGTCCAATTTTACCATAATGCGGGCTTATTTTATAAAAATTTCTATTTTTGTAATGAAAAAGTCAAAAGGTTAATTCCGGTCGGAAATTAGTAAACAATTATGTAATGCGGGCCAAAATTTGAAGATCCTCGGCCGTTTGCCAATCGAAATCGAGGATCTGCCGTGAGGGTTCCTTATAGCCCCTGCACCATTATAATATGATCGTCCTCCTTTTGATCCCCATTAAACCTCAAACCGTCTTACCATGTCATTGTTCATCCCTTCCCAAATTATAACACTTATACTCACCCTATGTTATTACTATAAGTATTGATCATACTATAATAGTTTGTGGGCATGTTGGGGTATAATTGTTAGATCCCCAACGCCTAGAGCACCCAACCTTTTTTGTGTCCAATTAAGAAGTCCAGTCCTTAGGTGTAGGACTTCATATATTATCAACAATCTGCTATTCCGATGCGGAGCTGATAAAGGTATATGGAGATTGATATTTCGGGTGTAAGTCTTAAAATAGTTGAAGACATAAGGGGAAGTTTAATTGATGTTGGTAGAAGTAAAGTTATGTCATGGCAGAAGGAAATTAAACCAATGAATGTATCAGGGAATTCTAGTTAGCCAACATGTATGAAACACAATGTATTCGCCTTACTGTATCTTCAGGCTCTATCTGAGTAATTCTTAATCATATCGTATCTTTTGAAATTGGTTTATGTTGGATTATGCGTATATATTTACTGAATGTTACATTGATTTTATTTTATTCAATTTTTTTATACAATCACATCTTTGTATATTCCTATTCCCCGAATGCCTATTACATTAATCACATCTATATAACTTTATCTATCGCCTTTATTTATTGTTTTTTAGTTTAATATCCTGAGACTATTCTGGCGTATAGTCTGACTGCTCTTCTCCCGATAGTAGCATCGTAATACAAATCAGCAAATGTTACACGAATAGTTGGTCAATTACATGATTCCAGAAATTGTAATGTAGCCATGTGATACACAGGTACCTAAATATGTTAGTACTACAAATAATTTTATATAACGCTACTGTAATGCTTTTCATGACATTTTTTCTTTTTTTTTAAAAAAAAATGTCAAATAATCTAACCACAGAACATCCAGAAAAAATTAGCAATTTATCAAATGAAATTATTCAAAGAACTGATAATTCTTTTAGTGAAATCGTTAAAGTATTATACAATAGATACAATGAAGAATGTTTAACCTGTTTTGATTTGAATTTAGTCATTAATTCATTGGATCAAATTCTAATAAACACGAAACAAAATCCTGATAATATTATGAATTGGTGTTTGAATAATCAAACTGATCCTATGGTTCAAATCGTTCTTGCAAGATGTTATCGTTTTGGTAAATGGGTTAAAAAAAATGAATTTAAGGCATTTATTCATTATCAAAAGTCTGCCGATATGGAATTTAGTGAAGGGATATTTAGTGTTGGATATTGTTATCATAATGGAATCGGAGTTGAAAAGGATGTACATAAAGCATTTGTTTATTATCAAAAATCTGCTGAAATGGGACATCCTTCAGGAATAAATAATGTTGGTTATTGTTATGGAAATGGAATTGGAGTTAAAATAAATCAACATAAAGCATTTACTTATTATCGAAAAGCCGCTAATATGGGTGAAACTATTGCAATAAAAAATGTCGGTTATTACTATCTTCATGGAATCGGTGTTGAACAAGATGAATTTATGGCTTATATTTATTATAAAAAATTAGTTGAAATGTGCAAGCTGGCTTGATTTGTGATTTTGTAATAATAAACAGTTAATTTTGATATTATTAAATTTCCTTAATGAAAAAATAAAACTAATGGAAAAATCATTATAAAATAATTTCAATGTTTAAAATATTGTAGTCTTTAACAGAGATTATATGTAATATACATTGGAAATTTGGACAATTTGGACATATGAACAATGCCTAATTTGTCCAAATAATTTAATAGGACATAATAAATATTTTCTGAACATGAAAATATTTTATTAGTGGCTAACTGCGAATTTGTTTTGCCAAAAGCTCGAAAATTTTGCAAGCTTGATCATTCTAAGCCACTGAATAACACTGTTATTGTATGCTACGCAGCCAATAACTTGTTTATTTGACTGCAATTTAATGAGTCATTTCTGAAAGATTTATTTTATAAAAGAATAAGTGGCTACCCACTGCAAAAATAGAATACATTATTTTCAAATTACAAATAATGTAAGTCATAATTGACATAATTGAGAAATAACACTGAATATTTAAGCTTTGGCACATTATTAATAATCTAGTTTTTTTGGATAGCCAGAATTCATCCAATATTACGATTTAGAATATTGAACGTTATCTAATAAAATTATTGGACAATTGGACATATATTTATTTAATACAATTGACAATATCCAATTAATTTTATAATTTTATTTGACATTGTCCAATGTCTAATCACTGGTTAAAAAATCATATTTTAACTAAATAATATCTAGTTATTTCCAGTACAAATAATAACTTATTTACTATATAATTACTAGGTAATATATGTATTTAAGCATATTAGCTAAAAATATATTAAACTTCAAAAATATCTAGCAACTATATAGTAAATAAGTTATTATTTGTACTAGAAATAACCGGTTATTATTTAGTTAAAATATGCGTTTTTAACCAGTGAATAGTTCAAAAATATTTGAATTAATTGTACAAATTGGACATAGTCCAAAGTCAAAATGTCCAAAAAATTCAATTAAAATTTTTTTGACATTGTCCAATACTAACTCCAATACTAACAATTAGTGTTCCAAAAATGTAGAATGGATCGGATTCGGATTTAGTGCAGAAACTAACCATCGGATTGGTTTTGGCCTAGAAATTTCGGATTGGGCCCAGATTGAGAGGGATTGAGGCCTGATTTAAAATTAGGGTACAGATTGAGCAGGATTGGCCTAATTTCACAATTTTTTTTTGTTTCAAGTTCGTTAACAACATTCTGATTAACAAGCCACAAACTATCAAGAAGCGTTAACTTTACGCTCAAATCAGCAAAATAAACTCAACTGTCAACATATAATTTGGTTAAGCCACCAGTAATACGAGCAGGAGCAGATTATAACAACTATGTTGTATAAATCTTGAGACTAGTCTACTTTTATGAATCGAATTTAATTTAATATATTATTTCAGGTTATTGATATTATGAGCTTTGCCTCTTTGACAATTTTGATTATGCATTTCTCAAAAACTTACATTTACTAAATATTTTGAATCAGGTTTATTTGATTTAATTAGTCACTAGTAGTCTTATTGAGAATTCTTAGGGTATTGTGAATCAGATTCATTCAATCAAGTGCTTTTGAAATTAAAGGCTAAAATAATACCCAATTCTTGTGTAAATTGAGCTTACTGAAACTGTTAAAGTATTTTATAAGCTGGGTTGCTGTTATGAATTGAATTCAATTTATTATTAATTTAGGTAATTGGTATTATGAACTTTGCTTCTTTGACAATTTTGATTATGCATTTCTCAAAAGCTTACCTTTACTAAATATTTTGGATCAGGTTTATTTGATTTAATCAGTCACTAGTACTATATAATAGGTTTATTGAGAAATCTTAGAGTATTGTGAATTAGATTCATTCAATCAAGTGCTTTTGAAATTAGAGACTAAAATAATACCCAATTCTTGTGTAATTGAGCTTACTGAAACTATTAAAGTATTTTATAAGCTGGGTTGCTGTTATGAATCGAATTTAATTTTATATATTAATTCAGGTAATTGGTATTATAAACTTTGCTTCTTTGACAATTTTGATTATGCATTTCTTGAAAACTTACCTTTACTAGATATTTTGAATCAGGTTTATTTGATTTAATTAGTCACTAGTACTATATAATATGTTTATTGAGAAATATTAGGGTATTGTAAATCAGATTTATTCAATCAAGTGCTTTCAAAATTAGAGGCTAAAATAATATCCAATTCTTGAGTAAATTGAGCTTACTGAAACTTTTAAAGTATTTTATAAACTGAGTTGCTGTTATTAATTGAATTCAATTTATTATATTAATTTGGGTTATTGGTATTATTAACTTTGCTTTTTTGATAATTTTAATTATGCATTTCTCAAAAACTTACTTTTACTAAATTATTCATTTAGTTCATTAGATATTTTGAATCAGATTATTTAATTTAATCAGTTACTAGTACTATATAATAGGCTTATTGAGAAATCTTTAGATATTGTGAATTAGATATATTTAATAAAGTAATTTTGAAATTAGGGCTTATGATGATATCAATTTTGGTAAATTGAGTTTATTGAAGCTGTTAAAGTATTTGATAAGCTGGGCTACTATTATAAATTGAATCTATATTAATTTAGATCATTGGTATTATGAACTTTGCTTCTTTGATAATTTTAATTATGCATTTCTCAAAAACTTATTTTTACCAAATCATTTATCTAGTTTATTAAATATTTTGAATCAGGTTATTTAATTTAATCAGTCGCTAGTACTGTATAATAAGCTCATTAAGAAATTTTTGAATATTGTGAATCAGATATATTCAATCAAGTACTTTCAAATTTAGGGCCTATAATGATACTAATTCTTAGTAATTTGAGTTTACTGAAGTATTCTATAAGCTAGGCTACTGTTATAACAGTTATAGGACATGTCCACATATAAGGGCTTAGAATGTTGTTACTTATAAATCAAATGAGTTGACTCACCTAATTTTATATGTAAATTTATGCAAAAAAATCATTTAAATTA